ACATGAAAGAGGACTAGAACCAAATACTTAATACCTTTTGTTTCTGTCACCTGCCCTCCTGAATGCGGTACCCCAGAGTGATGCAACTGGTGGCTGAGACTACACTACTTCATTTCCAGAACAACTCAAGCGGACTACCCAAAATTTCACTTGCACGAGGACGAGCAGTCAGGTGTCTAACTCCTCCCAGCACAGAGTCAGCGTTCCCTGCAAACTGCCCCAGTGACTACATGAGAGGAGGGAGTTACCACCACATGAGGCCGGAGTGCAGCACAAGCAGAGGTACGGGGCTCACAGAGGTGTCTCAGAAGTGGTGTCTGGCTTACAGCACAGCCAAAGTTGGGCCATGTTGATGTACAACACCGTACTGGAGCCAAAAAGGAAAAACTCTGTTGGCTTTGCAGACTCATGCAGTGTTGAAAAGAATGAGAAAAATAAATTCTTTACTATTTACGTTAAAATATTCTGCCATTTCATGATAGCTTTTAAAAGGAGAAAAGATATGTCCTCGCTTACATAAAAGTACTAGATGAAGCTTGAAAGCCATAATTCTCAAAAAATATTCACGCTTCCTTTCACTCTAACCAGTATATAAAGCCCTACTGTTGACAGCAAGGTCTGCTAGAAACTGCAAATGCCTCAGTGTTTTGGGTTTTTTCTCCCTATTTCCTACTCATTTCAGAGGAAAAATTACTGAAAGTTAATACATGTTTTCTCTTTCTCTCTTTAGAAAAACTTTTCCATTATTTTATCTAGCAAAATACAAGGCAGAAGGCTCAGTGTGTTTGATCTGTTGTTTTCCTTTGTTTAAAGTTGTAGATATGGTTAAATTACATACACTTAACGAGATCTAAGCACATACAGATTATTGACCTGAGTTTTGTCAAGAGAGATGACACTTTCGTTTTGATGGGACAATAAAAAAGGCTATTCTAACAGCAACTCTTCGGACGCTTACTCAATTGAAATACTGTTTCTCGCTCTTATATAGACATTACATCGCTTCTAGTTCTGTACATAGGTGATGCAAAAGTGTTTCCTCAAAGAACATATACATAAGGATTTCTGTTTTCTGAAATTCTGGTAATGCTTGTAAGATTCCAGAGAGAATGTGAAAGAAGGAAAATACAGCTATGCACTTTGTAAGGTGTGGTCTGGGTTGTGGGGTTTTTTTGTTTTTTTCCAGTCAGTTCAGACATTATTTCAGTATTTACCTGAAGCATTTTACAAGTTAACAGAGAATCAGGTGGACGGTACACTAAGTAAGCCATAATTCAAACATGTCTCAGCTGAAAGCAGATCTGCTAGACCATTCTAATGCTATGCAATTATCACCTAGCAATATATTCGGCACTTCAAAAGCATCAATGCAGCACTTTAAAATTTGTAAATTAAGTAAGTTCATTTTAAATAATTGCATTTTAAAGATTAAAACATCCGACTGAGCCATTTGTTATCCAAAGAACTTGAACAGCTATTACTGTCATCCCACTTTAGATTCAACTGAGCAGATGAGAGGGCTGACTTGTGCAATGGCATTTTCCCGACATTGTTAAACTTTCACTCCAAACAGCTTTTGTTTCTTCACCTACTTACACTGAAAAGCTGAATTTTAAAGGTAATTTCAAAAATATTTCCAAATCATAGCTGAAAATTTCAATACACCTAAATGGCTACAGTAACATCATTATTAGGTAAAAAAAGCTGAAAAAGTGATTCCATGGCAGCTACAATAAAAATAAATCCTTATTTATTTTGGGTACACGAACACCACTAATAGACAGGAGACGCTGTTAAAATAGACTAACTGATCGTCACTGAAGCTCTTCTGTTATGTTGGTGGCAAAGTAGCCTACTACAGCAAATTCAACATAGCATTTCTACTGGTTCACCTTCTTGAACAAAGCAAAGTTGTTTCAACTGACTTTTTTTTCTTCTTTAGATACCTGTCTGAAATACAGAACCTGATTTGCAAAAGTGAACATCATCACTCCTCACTAGACATGCATGTGGTTTGTTTTGGTGGAATTTTTCGATTTTTGTAGTTAGTACTTTGAAAATGTTTGTCTGTATGTATTCCTCGTTTCCCTATCCATATCAGTCTGCTTTTAGATCACTGAGAAAGAGATGCTACATAAAACAGAGAATAAATAGTACAGGAAAAGCACACACTACTGAAACACAGGCTTTCCCTTGTGCTTTCCATCTCAAGCCTGACCACATTCAGGAAGACATTCTAGAAACCTGAAGGCTGTTTAATCCACTTCCCTCTCGACTCTTTAGCTTTGACTGAATCAGTCAGTAAGACTGCCAAGTAGTACAGCCCACCATCTATTAAAAAGGAACCAATTCAACTCTGCTTGCTTCACAGCAACATAAACATACACCTAATAGCTATCCAAAACTTTCTACAAAGATACAATGGAAGCAGCAGGCAAAAGATAAGGCTTATTTTTCACACCTCGGTGTGTCTGTACTCAACCTATAACACTTCCCCCCAGTCTTAAAAGTAAAATAACCACTTTTTTTAAGACACAAACTTCACGTTCTGCTTACTTTGGTCCATGTTAACTGTGCTTTCAACGCTAATAAGCACACCACCACGTACAACTCACAAAAATGGTCATAAGATCTAAATACAATACCAATGTGTTAAAATTGTATTTTCCTTGTCATAGGTATATATACTCTACATGCCATATTACAGTACTGCATGTTAACTTACCGTAAGATTACTTAAATCCTACACGCACCCCCAGCTCCAGATTTTTACGAAATCCTAGCATTCTTAATACATTTGCATATGGAAAACATATGAGTTTATTTTCCCTATTCCGCCTGTCAAAAAATATTTTTTGGGGAAAGAAAATTTAAATAATAAATTAATCCATTGGTTCAAGTTTCTGAAGAACTGCACTTCAATAAATGTAAAGTAGAAATCATAGCGTACGTGATTTCTCTCTTACATTATTGGGGCAAGTTCAACAACTTGTTAAACCTGAACAACAATCCACTAATACAAGGCAGAGCGTGTATTCACCGTTCAAATCACCTGCTCATCAAATACAGATTTTTGGCAGAAATGTACTGCTCAAAAGGGAAAAAAAGAAAAAAGAAAAAAACAGACAAAATTCACCCCCAAAACAGGGGATTTAAAGTTCACCTGTCAAATGTAAGACGACAAATATGTTTGTTTTATCAACTAATAGTTTAAAGCCTTTTTTAATCACTGAAGCGGGAATATGTAGGGTTGGTTTACTGATGTAAATCTTCTGGTCCAAATTCGAACAGAATTAGCTAAACACACTACTTTAAAAATAAAATAAGTCAGACTTTTAAAATGGAAATGCTAATTCATAAACCATGAAATTATTAGTGCAAGACTGTGTTTCTTATCTCTTCTGTATCAGAACGGTGAACCTCTAAGTCAATATAAAGCAAAGTTGAAGGTCCAGTGTTCTTCACAGAGTATGTCACATCACAGTACTAAACCAAGTAGATTTTAAATCTTCTGCACTCCAAAATAATCCTGCCTTTCCTCCCTGACCTGACATAAACTACGATTTTACAGCTAAACCTACAATTTTACAGCAAGGTTACAATCTTGAAGAACAATGCAAAGAGGAGTGAGCTTTGTCAACTGGTAAGTCAACTGGCTTATATTTAAAATATGCAATAACAGTAATAATCATAAAGTGATAAAACTTTCCAAATTATCTGCAGTGAGAGCCTTATCCTGATCCCACCAAAGACGACATAACCTTATCTACTGCAATAGAAATGTTGGATTACTGAAAAGATCTTCTTTATATCTTAAAAAAGGGGTTAATGAATCAAAATAATTGACACTTCATGCAATAGAGGACTCCTCAAGAGAGTACAAAAGAATATGAAGTAAAGCTGAATACATTCAGTATACAAGGCAGCTAGTAAGAAACAAACAGTTTAAATTTACAAGTACCAATCTCAAAAGCAATGCCAAAGAGTAGCAGGTACAGGAGAATTAAGAGGAGCACATTCCCTCCACGCTACTATTAGTGAATATAACGCTCCACTGCTGTAAGAAAGTTGTGCAAAAAAGGACGGGTGCTTGCAAAGCTCTTTGATTCAAATACTGCGGTTTTTTATTTGCTTATCTAGTATTACTTGGATGTTGCTGGGTTTTGTCATTCTACTGTTAAAGCTGTTCCAGAAAAATCTAGAGATCAGAATGAGCAATTCTAATTATTCAAAATAAATTTATCTTGCAATGAATTCTTGTTCAACACTGAAATTTCACTGACCCTGCATTCTGAGGTTTCTGTTTCAATCACTGAAAAGTGCATGAGCCTCCAACACGAGAAGCAAAATAGTTTTCTATTTCACTTTAGATATAATCATTTTTTGAAAATTATTTTAAAGCAAACAGTTATTTGCGTTATAAGCGAATGTCCCCTCTTCTCTTTTTAAGGTGTAACATGTCAATTCGTTTCTTAACAAGAAAAAAAAAAAAAAATCCTTTCTTCTATTGTTTCATACAAAACACGACCCTCAACTCTACACAGAACAGAGGAATGACTTCAGAATGCACAGTGGTGCTACCAATGTTTTCCTTGCGTACAAGACTGCATGTAGCGAAGGAAGGCTTGCGGTTCAGTCATTCATTACATGCCATAGGTTTTCAGCTAGAAGTGCAATTACGAGGTTTATGTCTTAAAATCTGCAGCAATTTTTCTGAATTCCAGTGAGTGATGCTAACATCAGTATACATACGTTGTGCCAAATAAAACTTGATTGTTCAGCCCTGCAATTACCTTTGCAACAGCCCCCCTGAACATCAAATAATTATTATCCTATTTTAAATGGAAAAGGAAACAAGACCTGCAAGACTTAAAAAAGTCCCCTACAAAATCTATCTCTGATCTTACAATACAAGATATAATTACTTACATTATTACCTATAATTAGAAATATATTGTTCAAAGATTAGAGACCGTAAATGGCAGCACGTGGCTACTCACCTACAGTATACCAACTAGCATCTGTCAGCTTGCTGATAACAGCTTCCTGAAAGGATCCATCGGGCATTTTGGTTTCAACCATTGCACCAACCTGCAAAAAGGAGTATCTCCAGGTTACATGTAATCCCAAACTCATATAATGGAGAAAAACACATGTACACATTAATTCTCCCAGCAAGCTAGATTTTTTTTTTTTTAAAGACTCATTTTACCTAAATGTTACTTTGTAAAATGTAGCTACTTAGCTGGTAAGAACAAAGGTCCTTAAGCACAAAGGCTGAACTGCAAGTAGACAGTAAAGCAGTAAGAACCTCGGAACATCTAATCTCAGCATGACTTACATCATCACAAGAAATAATAGAAGGCCAATTTGAAATAAATATTCAAATATTCAATCAAAGTAATTATAACTTTATTACTGATGTGCATGCAATTACTACTATTTTTTATCCTTTAAACATTGTTATACTGTCAACGAGATCAGAATTCCACTAGCAGCCTACAACATGCATTGGTGTTCTTCTTGCAGTAGCCAGAGAAAAGACAAAGACAAAAAAAGATGATCTCCTCTAAGAAGCTCTATCTGCAGTCAGTGTTTTATAATGCAGCTATGTATTTTAGCAGACAACTGTTACATATAAAAATACAAACCAACACATACTTTTATATAAAATACATCAACTATTTTAAAATGCAGTTAGAGCAATCGTATTTACCGTCGTCTAACAGGCTTGAACTTAGCTTCGTAATCAAGTTCTCCATTACTTCTTATAAGAAGTTTTGTGTCTTACAAGGTGCAAAAATCACTGTGTGTGCAAAACTGTTTGCATATGGAGAAGCATAAACAGCCTCAGCTACAAGAGTTAAGAGTTAAGGCTAATTACACAGAATCAATCTGACCTAAAGCAATGAGCCTCCTCCTTTTGATTTAAATTCTGTAGAACAGGTACCCACCTAAACAGCATCAAAATTTAGAATTTTACAAATCAATTACGTGATTACAAAAAAAAAGGCATGCAATATACATACTCTTAGAGGTCCTTTCACTTGGTCATCTTGCACTAACTGAGTTGAGTTATCCCCCTTCAGGACCACCTGAAAGATATTAATAAACTTTTATATATCTCTCTCTCTTATTTTTAATAGCATACAAAAAGCATATGAAACTGTATTTATAATAATTTGGAAAATAAGATCTTTATCAATCAAATGGACTCAAACATTATTGAATGCAAAACACTTGGCATGGACGGTGGTACTCACAGGAAGCCCCAAGTATCACACTTAATATTTAATCTGAAACATCATAGTTAAAGAACAGGGCAAACGAAACATCAGCCATTCCAAGCCAAAGAAAATATGTTTTGATGTGAGTTTGGATATTGATGCAATCCAGGGCATACCTGGAATTGGGCTTCCAGATCAGAAGATTAAGCAGGTTTTTTCTCTCTCTCTACTTCAACTGTAGCACTTTGTTAACAACACGTTGAATACTAAACTATAACCAAAATAAAAAGCTCTCTTTATTAAATATATATCAAAAAAATCACTGAACTGACCGCAACACAACCACTTCTGCTACCTTGAGCGAGAGAAAGTTTTTATGGTAAAGATGTGAATCGCTACGAGTGTAATGAAAATAAGGATCGGTTACAGTGTAAGTAAACTACGCTTCTCCCTTCAAAATCCTGTTTGAGAAGGTAACACTGATGAGACAGAGGGAACGTAAACCTATGCAGTCTGAATCCCTGAGTTTGCAGAGACTCAGTTTAGAAACGTAATTGATGAATATTTAGATGTCAACACTGTTAACTGTTTCACCACCATTTGTTATAGCTAACACACCTACGGTGTTTTAATAATAAAATTCCAAAATTCCTATTTCTTTTCAGGAATCAAAAGTTCCAGGAGCTTCCTTTCCACCTATAAAGATGTCCAGTTTTCTAGCTCCCCCAATTACCCCCCAACCATAGTCTACACTGTAGCTGTATTTATAAATACAACACTAGTGGCATGCTAAAATAGCGTTGGTATTAACACACATTCAGGTTAATAATGCAGTTTATGCAGTTTTTATTTAAAATTTTATATTGAGATGAATACAGGTTGTGCTGCTACTCAGGAAAAGACTACTGGACTTTTTGGACTCTCTGCGAGTGTGCCGGGGTGTGCCCACGTGCTCTTAACTACAATATCAGGCTTAGCTTGTTAAAACTTAATTGTTGTAACATAATTGAGATACAGTGACAGGAATTTCCACCAAATCACAGCAGCCTCATACACTTCCAAATCTTATCATGGAGTAATAAAGCATAAGATTCTAATGAGAAAAAGCAACTCACACCTATTAACAGTCTAAATACTCTATCAGACCAAAGATACAGATACAAAATCAAGGATGTCAGACCAGGAAGGGCAGCACGCTGCTTCCTACGGAGCTTCTCATTAACACAGATTTCAAAGAACATCACAAATTTCTAAAAGTACTCATTAAGAACAGGGGAAAAGACTCCAAGATCCGAATCGTGGGGGTTTTTTTTCTTATCATGAAAAGCACTTTGATAAAGCGATATGATCTATATACGTAACTGAAGAGGCTGATAGCTTTTTCTACTTGATGTACGCATTAAAGCACGCGAAAACTTAGATGTGTAGTTATAAAAAGAAGCTTTGATCTCTATTTGTTAGGGGTTTTTGGGTCACTAATGCCTTATTTACATATCCTGGACAGTAGACAAGAAAGTAGGAAGTGGGAACATTTTGACAAAACAAAGCAGAAGAATAATTTCTGTATTTACTTTGAATTCTTCACTTTTATTTAACTACGTTTTATTCTTGTTTTCCCATACTAGCATTAACAACAGTACTGCAACACCAAAATAATGACTTTCTTTTTTGGCTGTTTTGGCGTAAGGCCGGTAAATGTGAATGAGTATTACGTGCCAGTACTATGCATGTGTAGAAACTCAGCTACAGCCAAAGCACGCTGTTTTAGAAGCGGCAGCAAGATGCTCAAAACTTAACAAATGTTATCCTGGACATTTCTGAAACGTATTCTAAGAAACTAATTATTGCCATCTTTTTTGCTCTTATGTTGATTTATTTTGGCATTGCCTCTTAAGTTCCGAGCTATAAAACTGAGAATGTCAGCTGGAATGAAATGGAACTTTTGCTTCTGAAGAGGTTGCTCTTATTCCTTATTACTCATGTAAAGCCATAATCCTCTATTTGTGACATCAAAACTGACTGCTGTGAAACTGATGCATTCACAAACAGAAGACAGCTGTGATCAGGAAAGAAGTAGCAAGAATAGGTAATTTGAAAGCTCATTCTTGTTCCAGCATCCTCCTACAAAAATAACAAAACCACTACCACCCCCCCAAAAAGAACAAAAAACAAACAAAACCCACCCCAAGCCCAATGCCAAACTATGAAAAACAACATTCAAGTCGTCTTTAAAATTCATACAGCGAGGCGATGAACATTTCCGAATCTTCAGGACTGGGATCTCCTCTGACAGTCCTTTCAACACAATGCTTTCATAAAATCAGCAACCACCACAGTATACTACCTTGACTTTCACAAGCCTTTTCACGGTCTTAATCTTTGCCTCACAGAAGGCACCACGGTACTTGGCACTGACATCAGTTCCCACTGTCAGGTAGGCAGGCTCATCTGCTGCCTATTAAGAAACAAAAAATAAGAACAAAGTTTAGTTCTTCTTATTTATTTTTACAGCTACATCGTTATATATTTAATTTTACGTCTAAACTTTTAGACCTATTGACTGTTAAGTGCTAAACAACGTCCGCACTCGGAACTGCAATCAGACTGTTCTTTAAAAGGAGGAAAAAAAAAAAAAAAAAAAAACCAACAAACAAGTAAAAGAAGGTTTGGTTTGACAAGGGAGGTGCACACCCCCCCCCCCCCAATTTTGTCAGCCTAATTAGTCTCCCAGAAATATTTCTGAGGGTATTGAACTGCTATTTGGAACATCTCCTTATAAAAAGGGTAGTAATGTATAGGAGTGACTATTAATTCAAGTCATTCCTAAACAGCATACAAAAGGATTATTTCAACTGCAAAAAGACAGTATAAAAAATAGTTGTACTTAGAAGTACAGTTATAAGCAATCCAATGACACAGATTATTTTAAATGTTTGAGATTGCTAACATCCCAATACTTAGAATTAAGCCTGTTATATTCTATATATAGGAATGTTTTTTCCTGCT